TTACTTACTTACCGGTAGAGTTACACTTACTTAATATAACATACTCTGCACTGTACCGTGTTTACATAGAACTGCGCTAGTACTGGCGACGTCAAATCACTCAATCTGAAAGCCAGTGAAGATATATGAACAAAATCACACATCTGTGGCACTATTACATGGATAAAGTATATCAGACAGACCCTTAAACAAGCAAACCTCTCACCACTATTGACAAAAGCATCAATATTCTGTTGTATACTACACTGCAGATAAATAAATCAAGCTGTCCCACAAGTACTTGGTAAATTAAATGCACTTTTTATCCAGGCTATCTATGTGAGAAGTACTTCATGTTTTATTTTTATCAACTTCATCGCTGTATATAATTCACACTAATGGAATATACCAGAGCGTTGTTGTCCCGTGTCATAAACATCAACCTTGCGTGGGTGCCACTTATCAAGTAACACCCAGGTGCAAAACTATCAGTAAGAGGAATACAAGTAATACATACCATGTAAGAATAACTTTTTCTACTCCTCATCATGAGGAACCGATGACACAAAAAGTTCAGCTGACTGTGATCGGCTTTTTCAGTTACAGAGTAAAACGTAAATTAAGAGGCAGTCTTATATAAACTACCGCCGACATTTGCGTCTCTATTAGAATTCAACGCCATGAAACATTCTCTCAAGTTCTTTTAAAGTTTGCTTATCTTTCTGAATCCACATCAGCGTCTAATCCCTTACCTTTTTCATGTCAAAACTCAGACCTCCACTGTGCTGTTGTACTTCCACAAGAGTTTTCAATTTAACTGCGTCCGTGAGCTTCACACACACACACACACACACACACACCCACACACACACACCCCGTTCTGGAGCGAGACACAGGATCAGATTTCTTTTTCTCCACAGTTCAGCAGCACATAGGCAAGCAGGCAGGGAGGAGAGGAGGAAAAGAGGAAGGGGGGGGGGGGGTGGATGTGTAGCTATGCTTTCTGTCACTCAGCCTCCAGCTTGGTTTCACATTTTCAAATGTGCTCCACCACCTCCACAAGCTTTTCACCAATTATTAAAACAGAGATGCCTGTAAGAGGAAAGCTCTGCGCTTCGCTTCACAGAGTCCAGACTTTTTACTTTTGACAGCTTCTGAGAGCTGCTCAGCCAATTTTAAGTCTTGTGCAGCTTATCTCTGCAATGTCCTGTGATGGCAAGGGAGCATCTGACCCTTGTTGCGATCTTTGAAGTGCAACCCGGCTTATGTTTACATGGATTAGACTGCCGAGGCTCCAGAGGACCAGCACCTGACCCCTGCTGCCCTCGACGTCAGTCGGGATATGCCTCGTGTTTATTGAGCGTTCTCTCCCGCCAAGTGTCTGCCCTCTTTGAACCCTTTTGGCCCCAAGCTCCAACCTGCAAAGGCAGGGCAGGAATTTCCTGTTCTGATGCAAAAGTCTTTACATCATATCACCACCCCCTCCCTTCTCTCCCACCTCCACCTCTAACTTTCTCTGTCTCATATCTGTGCCCTCGGTCCCTTTCCCTCATTCCTACACAGAAGAGAGCAGACTGAAAAAATCCACCCCCTCCCCTTCCCCGCAGCAGCAGGATTCAAGTAAAGGGGCCAGCCCTGCATTTGTGTATCAAAGGTCAGATTACCCTGTCGGATGTTATCTTTCTGTGGATGATGGCTGTGTGGTGAGTGGGATGACAGAGCCGGCCCCCGTTGGCGATGTGTGAAGCCGTATGGAAAGGAGGGATTAACAGAGGTCCTGGGATCTTACCATACTGAGCGTGAGCTAAACTCTCAGTGTATCTCATGGGAGAAATAAAAGACCAGCTAAGAGATGGAAATCAGGCTCCACTGCTCAATTTTTTTTATTTTCATAGGACATGAAGAGTCTCAGCAGGGGAGTGGTGAACTTTTATCAGAGGTCTTTGTGTTTTTGATGATCTGAGGAAACAAATTAGCGAGTAATGAGTGATGGGAAGAGTGCTGTTAGCCATACATCTAGATAAGAAGCAAGTGGCCCTCAGTACACAGAGTAATCTTACTTTGTTCCAGCTGCAGACTGGCAGACACCTCTCAGAAGAGGTCATCTTGTTTTATCTCTCTCTTTACTTTTTGACACAAGTCGAGATCTTTGAAAGTCAAGTTTCCGAGCAGCTTTCCCCATAAGCCCCCACATTATTGTCAGTGACTGTGTTAGATATTAAGACAGCCCTTTAGGAGTGGTGCATGATTGTTTTTCCACTGCTGCTTAGTCCTCCTGTATTTTAAGGCACGGAAACAGATGTTTCGTGGAGCTCTCCACTGTGTCAGATTTCAGTGATGGGTCTGGACTGTTTGTTTCTTTTATGTGGTGTAACTGCTGTCTCCCATTTTCAATAAGATCAGAAATGTCACATATACAAGCACTCACTTGTTTTTCGGCTCATGCCCTCCCTGTTGAATCCCGTCCTCTCCCATGACGCGTCACAGTCTGTTCCAGCGGTGTCCATGTGTTGCTTTAGCTGAAGGGGTTTTCTCATTCTTCCTGGACTCCAGCTGGCCTCTCTCCTGACGGACATATGTCCCTTCTCCATCACTTCTCACAATACGGCACTTCTGTGTCAGTCCTCTGTCAGTTTTACTCCGCACTGGCAGGCAGTGAATGCATTTAAAGAAAACACACAGAAAGAACAAGGACAAGAGGCACTTTAGAATTCCAGATTGCTGCTTCTGGTCATGGCTCCCCGTTCAGCAGTACTCCTTCCAAAAAGTTGTCCTGCAGTCTGCAGACGTCTGACTGAAGAAGCTTGCTCTCACTTTGTTCTTCGTGAAGTATTATTGTCAGTCTAACTGGACCTCCCAGGAGAGTCAACTCTGGTGTGCCTTGGATGAGTTCCCATGGAAAAGAGCCACAAAAATTGCTCAAGTTTGTTGCGCTCTGTTAAAAGTCTGGCACAGAACTTTGAAAAACAGTCCAGCTTTCTCTATTTACATCTCTCTAACACTCCATTTTTCTTTCCCTGAAGTGTTTCTTCCTCCTCTTCTATTTTGGTCACCAGAACATTCTTTTTGTTTGGCGTCCCAGTCTGCAGCCTGCAGATTACTTTTCGTTGGGAGAAAGGGATCAGCCCTTTATCTTAGAGATCATAAGTCTACAGTGACGTGAAAGGGAACTGTGCATATGGAGACTTCCTGCCGTTACGGTGCATGTGAGGAATAATATTTAACTCAGGAAAGGTCATGGAGACTGTTTTCTATTCAGCTTTCAAAAGCATTCACTGAGAGCTGTTTGAGTCTTATATTCTGTTTGTTTATCTAACATTTCCAGTTTCTCATTATTTTTGCCATTAATCACAATCGAGGAGTAAACTTGAATTCCTTCAGGTGGGCATTTTAGTTTGTTCCCAAGCGCACAGCTGAGGAATCATATATCAACTCAAAGGTCCCACCATTCCGATTTTTTGTAATGTTAGCTTTGGTAGAAAAGATTTGCTTGCGTGTATTCTGGTTGTTCAGTGTGGAGAAATGAGATGGCTGGTCACTGCTCTCTATCAAATCATTTGCTGTGTTCTTTTTTCTGTCCTGCAAAAGAAAGAAAAGAGGAACATTTAGGTTACAATACTATTCTTTAATAATTTAATAATTAATCTTTATCATTATAATTTCATAAAAGTGTGACATTCACAAAGTCAAAATAATATAACAATTGTCCAGAATATTTCCACGGTCATACTCATGAAAAGGTCTGATGCAACCAAAGGATTTACAGATTTTCCAATGATGAAAACCATCATTAGAGTCTGTTCATTAAGAAAATGTATTATTTTCTACAAGGAGAGTGGAATATACCCAGCTTGTTTATTTTTGCCCATTTTCATGTTAGTTCCTGAGTCAAGATGAGCCTGATCCTCTGGTGTCAACTTGCTAAAAGTGAGAACAAAAAAAGTGGTGTGATGCCATTGTAGAAGTCTGAATGTGATAAGCTCCATGTGGTCTGCAATGATGGAGGAAGGTGGCAATTCATTCTGTTCTAAGTGTTGGAATTACCTGTCTACCTGTCAAAAGTAGCCGTATTTTTGCCTCGGGATCTGCGGTGTGAAACACCACACCGAGAGAGTGAATGGAGGATTTTAATCTCTATGCAGCAAGAAGAAAAGGACAAAGATTATCTTGTGAAGTATGTCATTAGATCAGCAATGTCATGAACCCTCTTCAAAGCTAGCAAGAGCCATCGGCAATGTTTGCAATGATAAACCGGTGTTTGCACAGCCTTTTCCCTGACCAGACATGCCTTTCCTTGAAGTTAAGCATTTTGTTTTTTGTTGAGAGTTGCTTTTGCATCACTCCGCAGTGGGAAGCCTGTGCGGAGAGCTAAATACATGATTGCGATTTCAAAAAGCACCATTCCGGAGCTTCCTTTGCTTTCACCGCAGCCACCCTCATCTTCATCCCCCCTTAAGGTGTACAGGCAGCATGAGCATGTTTTCATACCTTTTGTGCAGACCCCCTATGGAACACCAGCTGAGTCATGACACTGTGGGCGGACTGCTCATTAGCCTCCTTAAAGACAATCATCGCAAACAAAACACAGCCCAACCTCCCTGTTGTAACGAAACAAAAATCCTCCACAGTTTCACTTACTGGCACGATCCTGACAAGCGAGAGGAGATGAAGGCCAGCATTGTTTAGACACTCAATAGCTCTTTGAATCCCCACAGATGCGGGATGCATGTTTGGATCAGCCTGCGTCTCATTTGGAAGCTCACATGTTGTCTTTTCAGATTAGCTGTCACCCGCTCTTTAAATTTCAGTAGGTTTGAGATGTTTTCTTCATTATAAGATGTCTCTACTCTGCCAAAATATGTTTACTGTGATCAGGAAGAAGAAAGGTGAACACATGTTGAGGAAATGTCCTAACAGCACCACCAGATTGCCTAAAATATGGTTAGATTACCATCTTTGATCCATGCTGAAAATATTTATTAACTGACAGACACAGAGCAGATGTAGGATGCTCAAATTGACAGCAGAAGAGATGCAGTCCTGACTCCAGCTTAGGAAACAAAATGCTAACATATGGACTGTTGAAATCTACATCTGCTGCACTCCTTTTATTTGCCTCTGCTTGTTACGATCCAGCCAAGTATTATATTACTTCAAAAATGCTTGACCCAACTCAGGCTTTTATCTACCCTCCACAACTGATAGTCAGATGTCACCCCCAGCCATCACCTCCCACCACCACCCGCTGCCCTGAAGTTCAAAAGGTATCTGCAGCCCGCCTCTGTCATGCTTTTATTCCAACCTTGCATAGTTTTACCTCTGCCACCCACCACCATCTGTGGTCAAAATCAAGGATATAATTTGCAGTTTAGCCTGTAGGGCCTCTTAGTTTGTAATCACAGAGTTCCTGTACATCATCAACACTTGATTGATTCGTTCGATGACAGCGGATCCCTCCCACAGCTCTCTGCAGCATGTCTCAAATAATAATGACGCGCACACAAAGTAAAATCATTCATTTGTCCCTCAGGGCCCTTGTCTTGAACATTTACTACACATCTGCATCAAAGGCCAGCCTCTAGAAAGCTTGTCAGCCAACTAATAACTCATTCATTGCATGATGTTTTTTTTTTTCTCCTAAGGTTTGACATTTGCACATCAGCAGCCGCTCGGGGCACACGTGTTGCCGCACATGCGTTAGTATCAGGTGATACTGTATTCTACTTAACGGGAGACTTTAAAGTGTATCATTTACCGATTTTGTAATGAGACATCTCATCACGAAAGTGACTGGCAGGCCTTTGTGATTGAATCCCTCAGGGGGAGAACTGCTGAGTGTCTGTTATCTGGTGCCCTTTGCCTGGATGCATTACACTTCGGCATTCACAAATCATTGAGCTGTAAATGCTAAAGGGTTTTAGCAAGGCCCTGCGCTCCTTCCCTCTCCGACTCAGACAAAGAACTATTCAAGGGGCTCCAGCAGCACCGAAAAATAATTTTGGCGAGTGTTCCAAAAAGGGCATTCCTTGCTTATAATTCCTCAGAAGGCTGTGATAGTCAACAGGCCTCGGCTTGTGTGGGCTGATGACTGACGTTGAAAAACACTAGAAGGAACTGTCTCTAATGAACCCCAGAAACATCTACTTATGTTCACCTACATTTTTCATGGAATATTCTTGATCATTCTGTCATAAATCCTATCACCTAGAACCATGTAATAAAGAGTTTTGTTGTTTTTTTCCCCCTTGTACAGCTCCATCTTTTTTGTTAAAAACTGTCGGGGACTTCAGAGAATAAACAGAGAAATATACTTGAAGTAGGTGTGTGCGTGTGGGGTCCTGTGCCAAAAAGGAGGAGCTTCTTTAAATAATTAAAGCCATTTTCTGAAAACTGTTAGACATCAAAGGAAGAAACTGAGACGTTTTTCAAATGTAAAAGACATATGTATGAATGTGTCGACGTTTGTTGCCAGAGCAGATTTGTCTTGTTTTGAGGAAACTTGCCCTGGTCAAAGTAAAGGGCATCATAAATACACGTTACATATGATGGAACAAAACCCCCTGTTGCCTCACTATAAAGCAGTTAATAAGTCTCACCTGTTGCGTTAACAGGAAACAATTATGGATATGAGTAAGTAAATACAGTCTCAAGCCAGGACTTTTATTGGATACATCCTCTACTGTTACACAGTGCAGTTCGAGTCTATAACCTGCCTACGCATCGGGCAACACACACTCTGGAAAAGCCGGCTTGGATATCAGAGCTAATGTAGCCCGTCGACATCCCCCATCTTTCCAAACACGTCTGCAGCCTGCACCCAGGGAGAAACAGCAGCCCCAGATGTTTGTCATCTACCCAGACAAAGACTTTCAAAGTTTCCCTCCTCCTCCGCTCCAGAGGAGAGCTCGGCATTCCCCCTTCTCCCCTGTCCCTTTTGCCCCAAACAAAGATTGAGTCTTACCCTGCAAAGATGGCTTTAATAGGCTGCAGGTGACCGAGTGTGCAGCAGTCACAGTTTTGCAGCGACAGATAAAAATTCCACAGTTCTGTGCAACTTCCTGTCGGCTGCAGTGCTGGATGAGCCAGGCTGCTCACCTGTGCACCGGTGGGTCTGGCAGTGTGAGGCAGCCGGGGTGTGTACAGCCCCTTTTCTGTTCCAACGACTCCGTACACACACCTCCCCCCCTTTCCTTTTTTTTTTTTTTACCTCTCCCCCCTCTCTCCCTCACTCCCTCTCTCTCTTTCCTTCTCTCTGTCTCTCACTCAGTCAAGGCAGACGAAGGATGGGGGCGTGGAGGGGGTCAGCTGGAACACAGAAGGCTCTTTGTCTGGGATTTTTTTTTTTCATATGGTTTTCTTCAAGCGTGCATACTGAACACATTATGGGATAATATATTTTCATATTCAACAGAGGGATGTCGAGGGGCTGGTGGGCCCCACTCTGTAACCCCCAGCACCCTTTTCTTTTTACTTTCTTTTCCTACCCCATTTTCCTGCCATGCACACCAGAGAAATCCAAACAATGTGAAGACTATGAGAGGAAAATGGCGGCATAAGTTCCTGCTAACCCCACAGAATTTGTTCATTTAAA